CATGGCTACTCCTCGTTCCTGACGAGTGACCATTGATCTCAAAGTGGCTGTTGTCAATGACAAAGTCAAGGAGCATCTGCAGATCCTCGGCATGAAAGATCCGTGGGGTTTTTGTCTGCCGACGCCACTTGCCTTTGAACATTCGGCGTCAATGATCGGACTTGACTTCGTAGACGGACCAGTGGGAAACATTGCGCATAAAGTTCAGAGGGAATAGAGGTCAAGAAGCCTGATAAGTCCTGTGGCACCAACTGTATGTATTCCGTAGGATCAGTGGACGACAATGCATCCCACAGTTGTTGTACCAGTTCCTGAACTGATAGTTGGCCTGGAACATCCGGAAAGGTGATTTTTGTGCTCGAAGATGAGGGCCCCGAACACGGTAAGGAGCGGCGCTGCCCAAGTACGGAAGAAAGAAATAATTGGTCTCGCTTTGAGCCATTCTTTGGTGGGCTTGGGCTGGATTCGCGCGGTGGGCAGAGGAGCTTGAAGTCGGTAGTCCCCATGCGTATCGTTGTTGTAGTTGAGGAGGAATCGTAGTGACCACCTGCGCGCGAAAAGATGGGCCCGGTTCTCTGCATAGTGCAAATACTTCTCCAGCGCAAAAGGTCTTGCGCATCAGGACGGAGAACAAGGTAGGGCAAAGTACATGAGCTCGCGACGGAAAATGATCTGCCGGAATGACAACCCACGCATTGAGGGCGCAAGCTGTGAGTCGTAACGAGTCAACGGTCCAGTAAGCCTGGTCTTGAAGATTGGTGCAATGTTCAGTGAATAATTCCGACAAGATTGTTCGGGAATCGACTTCAAGGCTAGACCGTTGCACTTTCCATCTGCGAGCTAATTTGCGAAGCTGAAAAGTGAAGCGTTGCTGCAGTTTGTCCACATCACCATAGTATTGATCCTTCATGGAAGCAAACATGATGTCTGGGTCAATGGCTGCATTGATGGAGCCAAAATCGTTCAGAATAGCCGCGTGAGAATGAGCGTGTAGCGTCGTGCGATCGGCCACATCGATGCAACGGCAAGGGAAGGAAGTATCCGGTGTCCATCTTTGCTGCCATTTGCGGTAGTTGTAAATACGATCCCCCAGCGTCGCACTGCGAGTCTCCGCAACGCGGATCTTAGGAAGAAATAGTGAAGGAAAAAGACTGCGATGCGAAGACACCCATCGTTGGAGCCATAGTCCTAGAAGTGCTTTCCAGTCGCCAGCATGTAGAGGAGGAAGTAGCAAGTGTGTCAGAGTTGCCGGCACCTGGAGTTTCCTCTTGTGCAAGACTTGGGCGAGGAGCTTCTGGGCCTTGGAGCGGAACGGCTCATTGCAAAAAAGTTGAGTCGACGGGAAGGCAGCAGAAAGAAGTTCTCTAATTGCTTGAAATGACGCACCTGTATTGGATCCAAGCCGATATAAAGTGGAGTAGTGCTCCTGAATATCATCCATCATTTCCGGTCGTAGTTGACGATGAAGATTAGGATGTAGGCGTCGACGGAATCGCTTGCGAAGCGTCATTGACGTGGGCGATGAGATCGAGTGTCTCCGGAAATTATCTAAATTTTCACGAAAACAAATTTTCCGCAGAAGTCGGTGCACCCAAGGTGCATTCAAGTGCGGACGAAGAGTGTACTGCCATTTGCTTTCCTGGGCCCAAACCGAAAGGGTAGGAAGTCGAATTTCAATAGGAATAGCGCAGAAAAGCCAGTATATGTTGGCTCGTTTCCAGTAATGAAGAGCAGGTTCAAAGAATGCATGTTGGCCTCGCAAAAGTTGCGGCATCGAGAATGTTCACGACGCAGAACATCTTGATCTGTGGCTCCAATGTAGTAAGGAGTGTGCCATGGTGATATCCTGATGTAGACACACGTTGTTGGTGGTGTCCAGGGTCCTGTATGAAGTCATATAGGTCCGGAAGGCGAGCACGGAGTGACTTGAGGCGCCGTTGGTCCGCAAAAGAGGAAAACATGACGTCCCGCAACAACGACGTCTTGTAGAAATGAAGCACTTCAAAGAATGGAGGAATATATCCGTTGTCTTGTGAAACAAGGCGTTGTAGGAAGCAAACAAGTAGATACGCAGTCATACGGTGTGTCGGTTGGCGGCAGCATGACGGGTATGGGACACGGCTGTTGCTGGAATTTGGAGGGCAATGCGGACGAGCGTAAGCACCTCAAGGATCATGTCGAGGTGGGCCAGGTGTTGAACTGGTTCATATTCATATGCGGGTACTGGAGGTCTGGACATCTCCAGAAAGCAGAAACACCAGCATGCGGAGACAAACGTCAATGCTTCAGGGAAGGTAGACAAGGTGCGCCATTGCACCGCGCTGAAATTCAGCGCAAATGTTGTAAATTCTCACAACGGCACATGGAAGACAGCGGCAACATGCATCAACACAAGTCAAGGTTGAAACCATGCAGGCATGAATGAACCCGCGTAGGCAAGTTGAAAATGGCAGACGCAAGTCAAGACAAGGTGCAAATCCGAAGCAGTAAGCCAAGACAACGACAAGGTAAGGGCATGCAAGTTTTCAACCGCAAATCACGCTGGCGCATGCCTCTCCGGGCTGATACTAGTGCTGAAAGGATCACATCATCCTGCAAGAAGTCGAGCCGTCACGAGGAGCAAGCACAGCGCCTTGTCTGTCAATTTGGTGATGTAGACTGGTTCAAGACCCCACAGAGAAGCCATGGCAGCAAATGTTGGTGCATCGCCTTACGTTGACGTGCTTGCTGAAGCTGAACGGCCATGGCATCCAAAGTTTTGTTGCCATTGAGGCGGGATGGGTGATTGGCCCACTTCATCGATGCCTGCGGAGTAGTGGTCGTAGGAGCTTGCTTGAGGAGTACTTGATGACGTCCTCCGGTGTGCTGCGCATTGTTTGCAGTTTCAGTCCCGTGTCGGTCCGGCAGGCGTGACTTGCTTGGCAACCGGCTGAGGGGACAGGCCATGAAGTGACTGCATGATACGTGGCTGAGCTAGACCGTCAAAGGGCTTGCCGTCAAATGCGGCCGCACTCGCTGTTGGCAATGAACTCGAAGGAGTAGAAGGTTGCGAGTGATTCACCGGTGGCGGCGTGACCAGCGTCGCATCGTCTTTGTTGATGTTGACCGCAGTAGGTGGAGATGACCGCTGTGCCGCCGAGTACTGCCTGAAGCAACTCATGTTGCCGTTGAAGCGAATGATATTTCTTAAGCGTCTCATCTTCCGGGGAACGAGGCTTGATGGTTTGGTGGTGCTGATTCAAGAATTCCAGCATGAGATTGCCCAGGCGCTCGTAATCCGCTGGTTGAACTCATCGATGTTCAGCCCCATAGAGCCAGCAAGATCCTTTTCCAAAGTAAGCAGGTTGAGTGGTTGGGACCGACGAAGAAGCTTCGAGCAAGTGCTCCACAGTAGGGCTTCGGTGCGTGTGCGAAACCCTTCCCACGTCACAAACCGTCCATGTGCCAACGGTCGAAGAAGCCAGTTCGAAATGCCCCCATGTATGACCTGGATCAGGTGGATCAGGCGAATATCACGAATGTCCATGCCCGACATGTCGCGTTGGGAATTGTGAGGAGTATTGGCGACGGGGAGCGTGAAGGAGTAGAGGGGATTTTTGTCCAGCATGCCCTCGCTAGGTTGCCACTCCGCTGGTGGGCTGCGCCACGGCTGATCAGGTTGTACGGGCAGTGGTACCTGATGGTTCAGTTTTGCTGCAGGTCCCGGGTGACGTTCAGGTGGAGCAAGAGGTGGGGAAGACGTCACCATCGATGTTTTCATATTCTTGGCTGCGGGTTCCGGAGGGAACGGCGCAGCATTCGGCATCAAATAGCTCACTGGCGGGCACTGATGGAAGCACGGCGCCGGATGATGAAACTGCGTCAACGGAGGAGGAGGAGGATGCGTGTAGTTGGCCTGGGACTGCGGCATGGAGCTGGGGAGGTTGTTACCTGGGTTCTGCTGCCACATTGTCGGGCTGGACCAATCAATGCCATCGGTGATCATGGTAGTGTCACACTCACCTCGTCGGCAAGCTTTGCAAGTCGGAGTTGGGCTCCTGTCACGTCGGCGTCAAGCTCTGGATCTATCTCGTTCATCTCGGCGAGACATGACGACACAGCAAACTGCAAGGGCAAGCCAATTCAACCAAAGCATATAGGTCACGCCAACACACGGAAATCCGCATGAATGCAAAGGACAAGGCAAGACAATGCAAGACACCAAGGTATCAGCTCCCAGGTACTTGTGAGACGTAGCTATGATCTGGTGGCTGTCATCCTTCTAGTGAAACCTCGTTCCTGCTTAAACGTGAAATTCCGCTGAACTATGATAAGAATGTTGAAATCAAATTTTCCGGCGAACCGGCCCGGGGTCACGCGATGGGTACACCCGAGGTTCCCCCAAGCTGGGGTGACCACACTTCAACTCCCAAGGGAGAGCGCTAATCTTTCGAGTACAACCGATGAGTCTCGAGTGGGTGGTGGGTTTTCGGCTCACAGTCGCTTGGCTTCCTAGTGACGAAACCGTTACAAGATTCAACAAAAAGCACACACAGCGGCGAAAGAAGACGGCCAAAAGGACTTTCAGCAACATCACTTTGCACGCACAGGTACGCAGTATCACCACCGATGGCAAGTGTCTTCGTTGGCAGGAGACTTGCCATGGTGCTCCTGCCCCCTGTTGTAGTAGACAGAACTAAGATTGGTGGCAGGGTATTCTGCCACTCCGCACACACACACACACCCCAAAGTTTCTGGGAAACCCGAAACAGCTCTTGGGGTTTTTGGGGGAGCTTTGGAAGAGCCAGAGTTGTTGCTTTTGGGTAGAGGAACCGACATTGGTGCAACAACAACGGAACATGATTGCAACTCAGCTTCCCTTCTATTGATCTGATCAGTTTCTTGCGTTCAGTTCAGAGAAACCTGCTTCCCCTCAATTTCTCGCGAAAACCAAGGCTTTGCAAACCTGGTCAAGTTTCTTTGGCAACCCTGAACCCGCTTCACCCTCACATCGTGGGCGCTGCAGGGAGATGACGATCCAGCAGGTGGCCAGACGTTTCCTGGAGGCCCGCTGCAGGCGACTGGACCGCAGCACGCTCATGGACTCCCCTCAGGCGATCAAAGCCAAGGGGCCGAGTAGATTCCAACGAAATGAACTGAGGGGTTGAAGTGGAGGTATCGCGGGTCCAAGTGACGAACTTGGCCAAGGGCCTGGAGGACACGTGAGAATTGTGGGCAATGTGGGTCTGCCACGCTCAGACATGGCTTAGCAAGGGTTCTATGCCAGGATAAGCCCAGGATAAGTTGGGACAAGCCTGGGCAAGCTAAAAAACATCCGGTTCCATGACAAGAAGCCATAATATTGCGGGGCACAGAATGAATAACCTGGCCAGGAAACGGCCTTGTGTGTACCCTTTTTTGAATGATTAAAAAAATATGCTCAGGCGATATCCCCAACAGAATCACCCCGGAACCACCTCACCGTCGGTGTTGCTGAGGATGCCGCCTTGTAACTAGACAAACAGCGCAATCGCGCCCTGATCGGGGGCCTGATCGGTGCCCGACGGCGCAATCAGGCCCACGGCGCAATCGGGGCCGAATCGGGGCCCGATCGGGGCCCGGCGCAATCGGGGCCTGATCGGGGCCCGACGGCTTGCGCCCGATCGGGGCGGGGGGGGTGGGGCTTATAGAACGCCGGTTTTCCTTAGGATGCGGCCACACAACTTTAGCAAAACTAGGCGATGCCAGCTTGGTACAAATTCACGGGGCCCGACGGATTCGGGCCCCGATCGGGGCGGCGATGGCACAATCGGTGCCGATTGGGCCCCAACGGTGCAATCGGGCCCCGACGGTGCAATCGGGCCCCGACCTGGGCCCGGTGAACCTCGCACACCGTTCTCGTGGAACTCTCGTGAACTCAGCGTGAAACTTTGTTGGAACCTTTCCTCAGGCTGCCTCATAGCTTTTGCAGAACCTGGTGGAAACCTCGTGGAGCGCTTTTGGAACCTTACCCCATAGCCCTTGCAGCCTCATGGAATTCTTGCAACCTAAGCCCACCAAGTAATACTCAGCAATGCCAAGCATGTACTCTGCTGCACCGTGAGAACGTGATCTGATTTGCCACAAAGCCAACATTTCGGGCCGCGTTGCAACTGAGCAAGTGACAGTGAAAGTGTGCTGAAAACCATTGATTTCGGTGTTTCTTAGTGTTCCGCCCATGAAATTTACTGCTCCGATGGCTTTTCAGACGGCGGGCGCACGACACACTGCTTCTTTCCAGGGCAAACCACCCAACCTTGCAGAACATTTCTGGCGCTTGTGGAACCTGGTGGACCCTTGTGGAATCCTTGCGAAACCCTTTGTGGAACGTTACCTTGCACAACCTGGTGGAACCTGGTGGAACCCGAGCCTTGGTGGAAGCCTGGTCACTCGCAGAACGTGGTGGAACGCTGGTGAACCTCGAGCCCTTGCAGAACCCTTGTGGAACCCTGGTACAACCCTGATGGAACCCTGGTGGAACCTGGTGGAACCCTGGTGGAGAACCTGGTGGAACCCTGGTGGAAGGAACCCTCGTGTAACCTTACCTCAAACCACCCCGGACCACCCCGCAGCCCCCGCAAATGGTGGAACCCTGGTAGGGCCGCCCCGGACCCCGCAGCCCTCGCAGATGGTGGAACCCTGGTGGAACCCTGGTGGAACCTTACGTCAGGGCCGCCCCGGACCACCCCGCAGCCCTCGCAGATGGTGGAACCCTGGTGGAACCCTGGTGGAACCCTGGTGGAACCCTCGTGGAACCTTACTTCAGGGACGCCCCGGACCACCCCGGAGCCTGTCTGGGCTGAGACCCCAAAGCTTTCAGCTGTTGGGGGATTAAAAAAAACGAGAGGAAATCCGCAACTTGGGTCCAGTAACCGCCTGAAAAGATGAAACTATGAGGCCGCGGCCCCGGGTTGGCCCACAGTTTTGCTTCGTCGTTGTGAAGCGACGTCTCAACTCGAATCCGCATCGGGGCCCCCGCCGATCTCGCGGAACTCCTCGGCCAGCTGGCCCAGCATCAGCACGGTCGCAAAGAGCTTCATGGCCTCGAAATCCGAGGCCATGAGTCAAAACCCGGTATGGTTTCTTTTTTAGGTGTACATGTATGTTGTTAAAGCAGGGGCTTGGGTTCGTCTCAACATCAGAAAACCCATCGGAAAACCCAAGATTACCTCCCTGTGTTCCTGTTTATTCCAACCCAATCAGTTGGTACCCCCTTCGAACCACCCCCAAACAGTTGGTATCCCCTAAATACACGTGTATATATATATATATATACACACATGTCCTCTTCTTTTTTTTTGACATGGTCTAGACCTGTTGTGACAAATGAAGACGATGTCTTACATAGTTTGAAAACCGTCGTTTACACAACCCGCCCTTTTCTGTGATAGCGGACTACATCCAGGAACAACTAAGTTGCAAATACTTTTGTTCTTGTTTCGCAACATCCGTTCGAAGGGGCCAGGGTCTACTTGTTTTGCGACACCTTTTGCGCAACCCCTGGTGGAGACCAAAAAGACCAGGGTTGAAGTCGATCGAGAAGCCGAGTTGCCTCAAACGCATGTCCCCATTTGTGCATGATTCACCATGGAATCTGCACGAGCGAATGCGCCGCTATATTGTTCCAAGGTTGCATCCAAAAGCAAATGTCCGAACGGCTTTTGGGACTGTCTCAAATTATACATGTGACCCCTTAAATGGCGCAATTTGACCACTTTAAGATTAGTCACTTGCCTACATGTTCCCCCAACAAAATCTTCCGAGTTGCATTCAAGGAGTTGGCACTGGAGTGGGGCACCAGCCAGTGCCCGTTCCTGAGGCCCGAGGGGGTGTAGCGCGCTCGCTACCAAGCGGGAGACCAAAACACATGCTTATTTGTTAGGTTAAAACCCAAGGAAGATGTAGATTCAACAAGATTAAAACCTGAAACATATGTGGCAAATCCCAACCAAAAAGAGAAGAGGATCTGCACTAACCCCAAACCGCTCTCACCGAATACAGTGGTCACATTGTGTTTTGCACACCATTTGCGTTTTGGGGTAGTGGTTTGGCAGCAGTGAAAACCCTCTAGCAAGGTAAAACTCTGAAACAGAAGAAGGCCTCTAGCGAGCTCCGTCCCAAGACTTCGGCAACGGGGGAATAACCAGCATGAGTGGGATAAACTGGGACAGGGATGCGGCACGTGTGCGGGCAGGCAGTGTCCACCTTCCTCGTGTAGTTTTGCTTTGAGCGGTGCTTTCAGAGAAAAAAAGCTGGACAGCCTGATTTCCAAACCAAACTCAAACAGAATTACAGACGCTGCCATCAACGAAAGGAGACCAAAGGTTCGAATGTGTGCTTCCTGAAATAAGGGACTAGGCCCACGTCAAACCCGAGTCGATTCGGGATCTGCGAGAGCGCAGGGTATGCTCTTCCATTTAGGGGATGGGCTTCGAGAGGAAATGTCGAAAGCCTGGAGCGAAACAAACACGTGGGTTTCCAGTAAAAGCGAGCCCCTTCCTGAGCCAAGCAAAGTGTGAGGCTGGGCTGAGGATTGCCAGGAGGAAGATGTGAGCCCGGGCTTGTCTCCCAGATTGATAAACGCAGGGTCCCTGTTACCAATGCCCCACGTGGGTGTTTAGTGTTTCATGGGCGTGGATGGGTCATTGGCCAAACGCAGACCTCACTGACTGGACTGGCTCTTGCTCAGGCACCGACGCGAACATGTACTGCGGCGATTTGAAGGAAATGATGTACAGAACCTGGCGGCATGTCCAAGGTTTTTGCAGACTCCGCAAAAAATCAACATGGAACCCAAGAAGCACGTCCTCCAAACGCAGGAAACAGCTGTGTTTCGCCTCAAAAAATTAGCTCTTTGGAAATTCCGGTTTTCGGCGTGCATCCCCATCATTGGGCGCAAACCTATCCAAAGGTCAGGTATGGCGAAAGCCGCGTGGCGATCTACCAGAGTCCATGGGCATCTGTAGCGTATCCGGAACACGGAAGCGATTCCAGAAACTCTCGGAGAGGCTGACCAAAAGAAGAGAAAAAGCAGAGACGCGTCGCGGCCTGAGATCTCAGGGCGGATCCGATCGGAGAACTGAAGACGTCATGAGAGGACTCTGTGAGACTACTTGCCCTCTACCCGCTGGTAGCTCACGGACTTCCGACCCGCTTCCCGGCACCCACACCGCGCGCCGCGAACTGAGCCACGGAGATGGGGATCACCACTAGGAGCGGCATCCAAAGCCTCACCTGACACGTGGGCTTGTCCGAAGCAATATCTGAACACACCTTTTGGATGCAGTCCATTTGGGTGAGCTCGAAATGGGGGAACCCTCAACATGGTCAATGCCCCTGCGACAATGGAAAAAGGGAGGTGACACCCACTGGAGAACCTTCAACTTCAAAACACCTACAAGAACGTCGTCTCCGTGAGAAGTAGAAACGTGAAAACATGAGTCAAGATCTACTGGTGTCTCGGTATGGTCGTCCAAGGAAGAACCCTTCTTAGGCAAAAAAAAGCCTTGGCAACATGAGTTCAGGTTCTTAGCAAGAAGGCTGAAGCACCGCTCGAGGCCCAGCTGCAAACGAGAATCCCAAGAGCGTGCAACCATGAGGAAATGAGGAAGGAAATCTATGGTTTCTCGAGTCTTCCCTTGGTGCCCCTTGCTTACGGTACCTGTGGCTTGCCTGTGCTTCAAGTCGCATGCAACTCGGGCCAAGCGGCGTCCCGGAGCGCAAAGACCAGCACCAGGCTGAAGCAGCTGGGGGTCCTTGAGCCAACATGAGTTTCCACCACCAGACGGGCGCAGATAACGAGGAACCAGACGGTTTGGGGGGCTCCTTGCAGAGGCACTTGTTCGAGGATGACACTTTAAGCAAAAGGTGCTTCAACATGTTTAAACGCAGGGAGCCGCCTACAAAAAGAGGAGAATCAGCAAGGCCCGGGGAACAGCTGCAAGTCAAAGCTGGACTTGGCCACAAAACCCGAAGACACGAAAATAAGAAGAACTCAGGAACCAAGGGGTGCCCCTGGAGCGGACTCGTTTTGGGAGCCCTCCAGGTGAAGCTGCCACTGAGACTGCCAAGAACCTCAGTTCAAGACTGCTCCAAAGTCTGTGGAAGCAACTCCAGGGATCTTCTAAATCTCCATTAAAGAGGCAAAGGGCATCTTGCCAGCCTAAGACGTCTTGCCAACTCCACATTTGCTAAAAGCCTTGCTATTGGAGGACCAAAACCCTTGTAGCCCAAATGGGATCCGCTTGCGCAGTCAAAATTGGAACGGCTTCTTGGCGTAGAGACTGTTTCCCAAAAATCGGGGAGTATGTGTCACAAAGAAAATGTTTGTTTTCAGCGTAAGTGAAAGAAACACTCAAATGAAACCAAGTTGGGGGGTGTCTTTGCCATCGCATCTTCGTGGCTCACCCCCTCGCCACTGGCCACATTCTCCGTAAGCCGGCTCGGCCGCGCGCAAGGTGTCATCGGAGCACTCCGTGTAAACAGCGCAAACGGTGTGAACACGGCGCAAACGTGAAAACAGTGACGGCTAAAACGGCGTGAACGGCTAAAACGGCGCGAGCGGCGTAAACGGTAAAAGCAGTGTAAGACCTTCAATGCTGTCCGTCAAACAAACTCGACTCTACCCCGAAACGTGAAAAAGCAAGCGAGATTTGCCAGTCTCCCAAGGTCAACCGGCGTGCCGCTAAAGTAAAACGACGCCGAGGTGCAGCGAGGTAGTCGAGGCCCCCTTTGAGCCTGGAAGATAGGACGTTGGCAGCATGGACGCTCGCTGCTGGGACATTGGGAACACCTCAGGTGCTTTCGACTTCAAGCGTTTCCATGAAGAGCAACCCTGCAAGTTCTCGCTGACTGCAGGGCCAACAGAGATGGATTTGTCTCAAGAGTGTCCAAAAAAGGAAAGGACACCTGTCGTGGTTGGGAGTTGAAGGGAAACCAAGAGGAAGCCATTCATTCTTGGAGGTCATATTTTTGGAACCACCAGCTTCCTCCCACTCAGGAGCCCGCTGTCAAGCTCCGTGTTTGAGGGGGGGTAAAAGATGAACGTGTTTTGGGTGAGGTGTAAACAACAACAAACCAGAGCTGCAGAAACCGTCATGTAAATCCCGGTCGAAATCCCGGGTGCCTACAACCCCTCGGTAACTGGAAGCACTCGGGTCCCTTCGGTCCCTTCAACACTCCGGACCGTGAAGGCCTTGTGCCAAGTCCCTTGGTCATTTGCTTCTCCGTGAAATCCACTGTACACTTGCAGCTCACGGAACCCAAGAAACCCTCGCAGTGGTGGCCTTTCCAAATGAAGCAAAGCTGGTCCTTAAAGAGATGCAAACCTGACGCTACCCGTCTGAGCAGAGGTTTTGTGCTACCAACCTTCCATTTGTGGCTTTGTTCTAGCTCTCGCTTTGATTTCGAGTTACACGGGCCCTCACTTGAAACGCGTTTAACTGTGAAGACCCCCGCTGGCCAAGAATTTGTGGCACTGCTCATCCTTCAAGACGCAGCCTCAACCCGCCCTTATGCAGCGAATCGAAACAACTCGAAGCATCGATTCCGTACATCCATTCTGGAAGAATCCATCTCCAGCACTTTGAGCAGCCAACAGGCCCCTCATGCCTCCCCACAAAACGGGAACAGAAAGCAAGACTGAAGGATCACCTCCCCCCAAAAGAAAAGACGAGCTCACCAGCCACCGTTTCTCTGCCAGAAACTACTCCCCACTTTCCAAGGTGCGGAGGAGGCGGCCTCGCCCGTGCTGCGGCGAAACGCGGGCAGCGTACTGTGCAGGGTACTCTGCAGGGTACTCTGATCCTGGGCTGACTCCTGGCCATGATGGGCTTTGCGTTTGGTTGTTTGTTTGTTGGTTGGGTGGGTGGTTGGGTGGTTTGTTGGTTTCTTTGACTTGCTAATTTGTGAGATTTGTCGAAATACTTATTGGTCTGTGTTTTTGTTTGCTTGTCTGTCCATCTGTTTGTCTGCTTGGCTTGGGTTGGTTTGAAGGTAAACCACAGGAAACTACTATGTTAGCAATCATGCGGCTGTGTCCAAAGTGACATCCTCAAACTGACCCTCGTGGTACGCGAGACCGGACCCCGAAGTTGTGAGGAACATCTCAAGTGACAGAAAAAACCCGCAGGGAGGACCTGAAGGCCTGAAGGTGCAGCACCGACAGGTTTCCAAAGCGAAAGCCGAGAAGCTTCCAGACCAAAAGGGGGACGCGGGGATCAATATGGAAGCAACTTGGGGATTCGGCATGTAACAGTCGAATCCTTGCTGTTGGTTGCACAAGGAAACTCACATCGTTTTTCTGGATGCCTGATTGTGCGGGTGAAAGGCCGTGTAATGGGTCGGACGACACAGGGGTTGGTTTCGTGTTGTTTTCCTGGAGAAAAAAACACGGGGGAGGGCCTTTGGAAGACGTGAGTGGCCGTTTCATCACTCCAAATGCTTTCCCTGGTTGGTTCCTGTCAGTGCCCAAGTGCTTGTCCTTCTGAATTTCCCTACCCATTGGCACCCTTAAAGAGACACGGTCAAGTCTTTGCTCCGAGAAAGGGAGCCTGAGCACTGGGTGTCTTTGTTTCTTTTAAGATGCGGGTTCTTCAAAGGGAAATCAAGAGGAAAAACCGCCTAACAAAATAGAGGAACAACCCAAACAGAATATATCCTGCTATCAGTTTGTCAATGGTTTCGGTTCAACCCGGGTTAGAACCTGTTGGTCATCCCCTTTAGCAAACCAAAGAGCTCTCGAAGCCAAGTTCGACCATAGGGCCCATCAGGGGTCAGTTCCCGCTGCACCTCGCCAACCGCTCGGTTTCGTTTTGGCCCCAACAGGCCTTCGAAACCAGCAGCACGTGCATGGTGCAATTACGGCAACTCTCAGTATCCTCCACTCTCTTCCTCCCCATGAGCAAGCAAAAAACAAACAACGCTCCTGGGTCACACTCAAGTGGCTGAACCCACCCAGCTGGCTCATCTGGATCTCTTCAATCGCAGGCAAGGAGGATCTGCCGACGAATCTCTGTTTGGGTTCAAGGTGAAGGTGGTGGGTGACCCTGTTGGGGACTGTTTAAACTGAGCCACAGGAGAGCAAGAGGCAATCAACATCACTGGGCTTCCACGTCTGCCGTCAAGTTGCCAGAAGAACTTGGGCCCTTACAGTTCGGGGCCCTCGGGGCTTCAGGCTAGGTCTTGGGCCTTGGGGTCGATCCGATGTTTGTTCGATCCGAACCCCTGCCTTTCGGTGGCTCTTGTGCCCCTTTTCTGGATGGGTCCCCTTTTTTGCCAGGGGATGCCCAACAATTGGGGATTGTCCAAGACAACTTTCAAAAAGGTGCTGAGGCAAGGGAAAACATGCAAAACACGAAATTGGACGAGGCAAGATACCCCATACCTCTTCCCGTTAGCATGTATTGACAGCGATACCCCATCTTCGCATTGATAAGAATGGCCAGGAACTGTAGGACCATGTCTTGGAGGTTGTGTAATTTATGGGCCCGTTGTTGGACCCCTTCCAAGGTGACGCAACATGTCACCTTGCAGTCGGCCCATGATTGATCCGTTTCCCCAAATTCAGGGTCGGCCATCAAACTAGTCAGAACATGTCACTCCTCGAGGCATCGGCCCGGCCTCAAACCCTCCTTGTCTGCAAAATGCAAAGTCCACTGTCATCGCATGAGGGAATGCAGGTGGCCAAAGCACTGCCAAAAACAATCTATGCAAAGACTCGCCCATTCAAAATATTGTCCTTTCACCCAACGTTGGAAAGATTGATTCTTTTTGGGCACAGACAATTGTTGCACCCGCGGTGCACTTGGACATGTGCTCTTTGGACCATCGTCACTGAGCCCCAAGTCCAAGAAGCGCAGCCTGCCTCAAAACCACAAAATCCTTGGACCCGCTTAGGGTTCTGAAGAGACCAATCTCCGACAAGCATATGCCTTCCAAACCCTCCAGTCACAACCCAGTCTGAAAGCAACCCCCAAATGTTACCGATCCGACTTAGCCTCCACAACAAAGGGCTCAACTGCCAGCCCAGCCTCCCAGCCAACTTGCTAGCAACAAGCCCCATTTCCTGTCAACAAAAACGCCTCCTTCAATCCCTGCACCCTGCCTGTTCACCCCGAAAAACTCGCCTGATGAGGCTGCCGCCATCTCGCAAGAAGCGCGGCACCAGCTCGCCGGCGTCCGGCAGCTGCTCCGCCGATTCCATCCGTACGGGGCGCGTCGCTGGATCACTTGCAATGCGGAGGTGTCCGGGAAGTTCTTTTGGTGTTCAAAGGTTGCTTGGGGATCCTTTCTGGTTTCTGTCCAGTGGCTGGAAATAGCTGGGCACAGTGTGATGGTTCTGAGAATGTTTAGTTGGAGTTTAGAGTTGCCAGCTGCCGCTTTGCGAGTTGCAATCCAACCTCAACTCGTTGCAACATTATATTTTCGGGCAATGCAGTTTGCTATATACGCTTGGCATGCTCGTGAGCTGGACATTTTCTGCACAAGCCACATGAAGCCACTGCCACTACATTGAGACTCCTTCAATCCGCTTAACCTTTGGAATTCGTCCAGGCTTGCAACATTCCATGCACAACTGATGGCCTTTGCATGCCAGCTCTGCAACGCATCATGAGCAAGAATTCCAGCGGACACTGCGGCCATGATCAGCTTCGGTCTTCCCTGGCCAACGTCTCACTTGGGTCCATCAATGCGGGCGCTCCTGAATGTTGGAATTCCTATTTGAGCCAGTTTGTGGCGCTGTCCATTTGCTGGAAGGCTGGTTTGACATCCCACTGTGTCAACACCCTGACGTTTTCGGCCAGTAAGGACTTCTGCAAACTGCGGTGGCAGAAGCCAACATAAGCCATCCACGTGTCTTTGACCTTGTAGCCCGGCGAAGTTGAGAGGCCCAAATGGCTGCAGTTTGCGTTGGGGCACTGGCAGGTGATATGCATCAGCGTTGTCACACCCCACAGGAACAAGCACTGAAATGAGACCAAGACAAAAACAAGCACGAAGCACCTATCAGGTTCGCACAGCGTTCGATGAACACCAGCAGCCTGCCTCGTGCGGGTGGTGTTTCACCAAGCTTGAAATAGCCACTGCTTGACTTGAACACCGCAGCCTGATGCTCAAAAGCGAGCGTTGACCTACCTTGCCCTTCAAGACAAAAACAAAGTCGCACTGCAACGAAACAACTGCACCTGCGACTGCGCTCTTTTGTTCCTGTACGAGGTGAAACGTTGTGCGCCAGCATTGCCTCAGCCGAGAACAGTGACCACAGCCAGCAGCCTGGCAACGATGCGAGTTCACAAGTGTAGAACACTGCTGTGCTGCTGCCTCAAACTATGCGGCTCCAGCAGCTCCAGCTGGCAACGTGAATCCGTAGCAGTCTGCCCTGACAGCTGGGCGACGGCGCAACCCAAAGTTGAAAGGCATCGGAACCAAGTGCTGGGCTCATCTGTCTTGCGCAGACTTGCTGACATCCTTGTTTCCTTGACCCAGCGGCCGTCCTGCAAGGTCCAGCTGAGAGACGGCAATGGGGTGAGGTGTGGGGAATGAAACAAATAGGTGCGATGCAAAGCTCTCCTTCCGGCTGTAGATGTCGATCTTGGATGCAGCAATGGTCAACTCCTCTTCCGCTTTGATTGCCTGACAATCACTCAAACCCTCCATCTTTGTCATCACCCTTCTGCAAACAGCTCGCAAGACAGCATGAGCGAAATTCGGCTTGAGGGCAGCACTTTCTTCAAATATGCCTGACAACATTGGAGCTAAGACACGCAGCATCCTCAAAGTTCAAGTTCACACAAGAAGCGATCAAAATGCATTCAACAAATACATGTCAGGAGTGCTATGTTTTGCGGCACTGGGTCGATTGGAAAAGCATCGCCAGCGGGCTGGAAGCCGCCACTGCCCTGCAAGGTCAGGGAGTCAGGGCACGGCAGAAAAAAATACAACATCTCCATGAATTCGATTTTGAAGGTGGGCGACAATTTAAGTGTTCTTCCGAGAAAAACTCCTGGCCGTCCTTGCAAGGCACAAGCACTGCAATCCGGTTCAGTCGACCCCTTGACAGCTTTTCACGAACATGAATGCAGGGCAGGCAAGACTGCAAACTGCTGGTAAGGCCCAGGCAGGGCTTCCCAGCTGACAGACCCACACCGCAGCGGATGGTTGCGAGGCGGCACTGCCTTGCAGGCGGCAGCCTGAGCAAGCAACGTGAGAAGTGCGCCCGTTGGCTTTCATTGGCCTTGAAACTCGTGAAGATTCAAAATCAAGCTTCAGATAGACCGTCGATACATTCAACTGGAAAGCAACAAGTACTTCCCATCCGCAGGCCACTGAACAAGAACAACAAGAAATGATGTGGAGGGGGAGTTGGTCTGACAGCGCCAAACGAAAACACATGGTGGTTGAAATCAAAGAGGGAAAGCGGCGGTTGGAGGTTTACCATATATCAACATAGCGCGTTTGAGCTATTTCAGGCTTGCGCCTTGCCCTGCTTGGCGTGGGGCGCTCGGAACGCGACCAGTCTGCAAATACTCGTCGATGTCGACCGGTTTCCAACGCCCAAAGTCATCGGGAACTTGGGCCATGTTCAGAACCTCCTCGATGAACTGCCCCTCCAACTGCTGCTCTTTGCCCCTCTCCAAGTACATTTTCGCCTGCTCTTGATCCCACCGGTAGACACGCTCCTCCTCGTGCTGCTGCAGTGCTTGCCGAGTCCGTGCTCCATTGAGGTCGGCAACCTGGTTGGCTGCTTCCGTGGATTGAACAACCACTATGAAGTGGTGGCCATGCGCAAATGCAGCTCGAATGAGGTCCATGAAAGTACTGCGCTCGATCCCGACGCCACCATCAAAGGTATTGTCGAAAATGATCTGCAAGCGGATGCCCTGCTTTTTCAGGAGAGGGAAAAGGGCCCAAGCAACATCTGTAGCTACTGCAGGGTCCGACACACGGAAAAAGTCCCGGACATTCTTGGTAAAATCCCCCTGCGACAAGACCTGAGTTGTAAACTTTGAGGTCTGTCTTTGTACCGCTAGTGCTGTTGCCACTGATTTCCCAATTCCGGGTTCTGCGTGCACCACTGAGCAACCAATAGGTTTGCTGTCCTTCAAAACAGCTATCATAAGTTGCTCAAATGCAGTGTCCGTAATTGGCTGCTGTACTGAGGTGACGCGAGGAATGATTGGAGGTCTGACTGAATTGTTCCAAACCACGTAATTCACCTGCTGGAGCTTGTTGGCCAACTGCTCAGCATGAGCCGTGACCTCGCCACCCAGCTCCAAGAATGGAACAGCACCGAATGATGTCTGAAAATACTTCATGGCTCTTGTGAGGTACTCTGCCAAACTTGCACTAGCTGCAGCTGCCCCCACTCCAGCGAAGGTGTCAGCCCTGACAATCACGTGGTTCTTCATCGTAACACCCGCCTCTCTCCTTGCTCCAAGAAAGCCGAGAGAGAGAACTTGGCTGGTGAAATGGTTCACAGTCAGCAGAAAAAATACCAGCTTCAGCCATTGGCGCTTCATGACATGCTACCACGATTCCTGGAAGTAGTGACATTGTTGCTCCATGCGTTTCTCCCATGCTGTTGGTCCGCGTTCTGCAATGATGCTCATTAGCACTGGCGCTGGTAGGCGTGATTTCTTGTCCGCTGCTGTTCAACTTCTCTGAGAGCCGCTCTCAACAAATAGCATCAAACACTTGTGCACAAGTTGCCTCAAAAAGATCAAACTGGCAAGCCACTAGAGCAATCCTTCCCCCACACTTCTTCAAACGGCTTGGTACTGCATCCGCGCGCTTTGGCACAGGGAGGAACGCCTCGGTGAAACAGCTGTTGACCAGCGCCGGCAACTGTTGCTGGTCCTGTACCCGTTGCAGGCATTCCCTGCTTGACTTCAACACCGCAGCCTGATGCTCCAAAGTGTGAACATGTACCTCCCTACCCTTCGAGAGTCAAGCAAAGTCGCACTGATCGAGACAAGTGTGCCTGCGACTGCATGCTTTTGTCACTGCACGAAGTGAAACGTTGTGCCCCAGCATTGCCTCAGCCGAACAGTGACCACAGCCAGCAGTAGCCTGGCAACGATGCAAGTTCACAAGTGTAGAAGACTGCTGCGCTGCTGAGGTGCCTCAAAATACACCAGCTCCCAGCTGGCAACATGAAGCCGTAACAGTCTGCCCTGACAGCTGCAACCCAAAATTGAAAAAGGGTCCAGATTGAATTTAGATTTTTTTTCCGGTTTTAGGATGTTTTTGTTGGATTCAAGGCCTGGGGGCTAAAATGCTGGTATTTACGTGGTTTCGAGTGGTTTCGAGCAGGGCCGGAGCGGAACCGGAGCTGAGCCGGAGCCGGAGCTGAGCCGGAGCGGAGCCGGAGGCGGAGCGCAGGCGGAGCGCAAGCGAAGCGCAGGGCAGGCGGAGCGGAGCCGGAGCGGAGGCGGAGCGGAGGCGGAGACGTTCCATGATGTTGGGAAGTTCGATGAATATGTTCATTTCAAAAGTGGCGGGAGGGTGGGGGGAGGAGGGCGGCAGCCCCCGCATGATGGATTTACGTGTATTTGTCAGGGGTGCCAAAACACCGGTATTTACCATGGTTTTGAGCCTCCCCCATGATGTTTTGAAGGGTGATGATTCAGGACCGGGTACTTTTAAAAGTGGGGGTAATAAAAGCGGGGGGTTGGGGGGGCGGCAGCCCCCCCATGATGTTGGGAAGGATGATACATCATGTATGTTGGTGGGAAACCAAGAAGCCAAACAGCCACGGCACCAACAAAAAAAGTCAACAGCAACAAAGCTACAAAGACAAGAATCCGAAAAGCCAAGAAGCTACAGTAAAACATCAAGGACAATTTGAAGCGAGGAAGCGAAAAGCCAAAAAGCCAGAGAAGCCAGAAGCCAAGAACCCGGAGAAGCCAGAAGCCGAAAAGCCAAGAAGCCAAGAGGCCAGGAAGCCAAGAAGCCAAGAAGCCAAAACGCAAAAAAGCCAAAAGCCACACAGCGGATCCAAAAAAAAAAGCCCAAAACTGGGCAAAAAAATCCTAAAATAAATAGCCCTCCAAATTGAAAGGCATCGGAACCAAGTGCTGGGCTTGGATTTGCCACGGTTGATTCTTCATCTTCTTTGAGCCAGCCGCCGTCCTGCAAAGTCCAGCTGAGAGACAGCAAGGGGTGAGGTGTGGGGAATGGAACAAATGGGGTGCGCTTTGACATGCAAAGCTCTCCTTTTTGCTGTAAATGTCGATCTTGGACGCAGCAATGGTCAACTCCTCTTCCGCTTTGATTGCCTGACAATCACTCAAACCCTCCGTCTTTGTCATCGCCCTTCTGCAAACAGCTCGCAAGACAGGATGAGCGAAATTCGGCTTGAGCCCTTTCAAGCGCGGGGCCTTCTTCAAGTCATTTACCTGACATCCCCGAGAAGCGTCAAGCAGCATTTCCGAAGGCCAAACAAAAGCTGAGGCAGATCCTTCGCAAAGTGGCGCAGCTGAGGCGTGGGCATCTTGGAAACGCGCTGCCAACGGTCTCAGGCTTGGCGTCCTTGCAACGCACAAGCACTGCAATCCGGTTCAGTCGACCCTTTGACAGTCTTTCTCGAACATGAACGCAGGGCAGGCAAGACTGCACACAGCTGCTGGTAAGGCCCAGGCAGGGCTTCCCAGCTGACAGACCCACACCGCAGCGGATGGTTGCGAGGCGGCACTGCCTTGCAGGCGACAATCTGAGCAAGCAACCTGATAAGTGCGCCCGTTGGCTTTCATTGAACATGGTACTGGTCGAGCCTCGGAAAGATCTGCGATACATCCAACTAGAAAGCAACAGGCCAGGGATGTTACACTGAATCCATTGCCAAGGAACAAGCAATGACAAAAAATAAACGATGTGGAGGAGCAACTTTCTGGCAGTAGACACCACAAAAAAAAATGACCTCTCTTTGCTTGCATCTACTCAAGGGCATGTCTGCTCACCAACGCCAGGTGTTTGCAGAGCACGACACTCGAATCAAACTGATAAAGCCGAATGCTGCCCAGCCTGCAATGAAACGTCTTTCAAAGATTGAACAGCCGACTGCGAGATGGGGCTGAAAGTTTGTCTGCTCCAAACGAGAACACGATCTTTAAAGCCAATGTTGCTTGGTTGTGTCGTAACGAAGGACAATTTGAATCCCTGTTTGTCTGCAAGCAGAATGATTTCTCACATGCTCACCCTGCAGTCCCCTGCCTGCAATGGCTGTGACCGGCTTCCTGCCTGAAATCAGGAACTCTATGATGTCCGTTGGTTTCCAGCCGCCATCAGGCACACTTGCACTTTCCAAAGTCTTCCAGATCAGGGGCTCATCCCCTTCAAACTGGGTTTTGGCTTCCTGCAATGCTTTCTCAACCTGGGACTCTACCTCTGTTGTCTGTTTCTTGAAGCCACGCAGCAATTCCCGCCACCATCCCCACCATCTCGCTTTGCGGGGCTTGCTGGAGTTCTTCACCTTCTCTGTTGCATTCAGATTCAACAGGAGTTGGCGTGCCTGCACCTCATTCCATCTGTACTCTCTCACGCTCACATTCTCCTGCTGCGGGGCTAGTCGTGTGCGCGCTCCATTGAGATGGGCTACTTCATTCGCAATTTTCTCAGATTGAGTAACTACGATGACCTGCTCGTATCTGTGCGCAGCACGGGCGAGGTTCATCAACATCCTCCCATCTTCACCCAGTTCCGTGTCAAAGATGTCGTCCAAAATCAACTGCAAGCGAACTCCGGCGTCAGACAAGATCGGAAAAATGTTTTCTGCAACAGGTGCCACAAAGCTTATATCTTTCACATTGAAGAAATCTTTGAGACGCGCCAAATCCTGCCTGACCAAGACAGAAATGCACCTTGGGTTGTCTTTAGCCCATCCCAGCATGGCCAAAGCTACAGCAACGGACTTGCCCACGCCAGGTTCAGCATGAATCGAAGTGACTCCGGTCAAGGTCGTGTGGATAACACATTGCTCACCACTTGCTGAAACTATTGCCATAAGTGGCAACGAGATGTAAGGCAAGAAAATGTTCCGAGCTTCCCGTGTTTGCTTGGCGTTCTCCACCAGGATCTTTGCAAGGCGTTGTGCGTGTGCTTGGGCATAGTTGACGTCCACCAAAGATGTCTGCTTTGAAATTACGCGACGGTTCTTGTTTGCCTCCAGAATTCCCTGCCCAATGTCTTTCAGTGATATCCCCAACGTGGTGGCGAATGGGTCGAAATTCTCTGCGCACTCCTGAAGGTTGATTGATGCCCACCTTGTGGTTTTGCTTGGGTGCTTGTGGCCGCTTGGGGTCGTTCGCGGTATCTCAACCTGGGCAATAAAAGCCCTGCCAACCAGAATGGGCAAAGCCAATGCAAGGAGCCTGGAGCCGCGCTTTGCCATGGAGAGACTGCAAGCTGAAATGTTCTAATGCATGCGTGACACAAAACCTGAAGCATATGGGAACATGACTCAAAGTTATGCTTGCGTTGCTGGCACGCAAGTCAAATTGGGTTTGAAAACCTGCTTTGAGAAGCACTGCTGCAACACTAAACACAAAGTGACTGGCTCATACGTGCAAACATCAGCCCAGCGATTCTCGGGAAATCTGCCACCGAGATTGGGGAAATATGTTACCGATTTGTGGGAAATTTGCCGCCGACCGAAAGCTTCGCGGCAAGCTGCTCGCCATTTGGTGTGCATGGATGGCGTTGCAACAAAAGAAAAACCATGCATGTGAAACGTGTCACATCCAACCCACCACTGACAAGGTTGCGTGACAACTTGAAGTGTAATACATGTCATTCTATAAGGTCCTCTGCTATTCAAATACATTGGCAACAGCCATACGGGACACTAGAAACATCTGAGCCCAACAGCCTACGTGACGCTGATTTTTGCAGTTGAAAAGACCGCTCTTTTCGGAGGCCACAGGTTTCTCGGGAGAAATATCCCTTCAAACGCCATGATTTAGGGAGCAGCCAAAAAATACGGCGTAGGGTCAAGGCGCAACAAGGGCCTGCCTACGCAACGTTGACTCTTCCTTTGAAAACCGCGTCTTTTTTGAGTCCGTAGTTTTTTCCGGAAAAAATGCCCTCCTCAAAAAATGCTTCAGGACGCGCAAATCCAAAAAAGGAACAAGCAAAGAGCAACTTGAGCCGAATCATCCTACACCACGGATCTACTGCAGCTCGCCCCACCACAGCAGTGGGAAGCCCAGGACGGAGCTGCTTGGCTCGTCGTCCGCCAGATCCGCTCGATTCAGAGCGGGCACTCGAGCTGCCTCTCCTGCATACGCAGGTCCGTCACCTCCAAGGTCAAGCCGCACTGGCCGCTCATCAGCCAGAGGGCCCTCGCCTGCACCTTGACTCTCGCGGAGCTGCGCGCTAGGGTCGTGGGGCGGTCCACAAGCTCGCCGTCGGCAGACCAGAACAGCTTTGAGCACCCGGTCGCCGTCGCGGACGTCCTTGACGACCGAAACCAGCCGCTGCTGCACGGCCTCCTTGGAGAGCTTAGGGCCAGCTGCGCTACCAGATCGGCCTCTGCCCCTCGCCGAAGGCGCTGGGCTCCCACGGAATATGCAAAGGCTCCGGGCTGCTCCAGAACAACGGCTCCAGGCGCAGAAACTTGCCGCCTTTGTAGTTGGTGCGAATCTCGCCCAGGCGCCACATGGTCTTCTTTTGGCTCTCGGGCTCACCAGCCGCCATCACCACTTCCTTTTTTCTTACGGCGTCCGGAAAAAAAATCCGTGCAGCAACCATGCCGGTGACCCTGAAAGACTGCTTGATCGCCAACGTCCAAGCCTGGGGCCTCTTCGTCGCCTTCGCTGCTACGATGGACTTCGCGGCTTGGGCATTCGGGGAAAAAGAGTAGTGGAGGGCCACGCCTAGCAATAAATTGCTTTCATACATACCCCCCCCCCCTACAACTTTTTCCATCTTCCATCTTCTACCCTTATTTGTTTTCATCATTTTTCTACATTCCTTTCTGTCCATCTCATCTGTTTTTTTCTCATCATTTTTCCAAAATTTTCGCCATCCTTTTCTCCTTCCTCCTCGCCTCATTCATTTCACCAACTACCCTTCAAAATGTCATTTCCTCAATCTCCTCACCTCATTCATTTCAAAAAAAATAATTTTGCAAAATATATTGCAAAAAATATTTGTCATCAAAAATAATATCGAACTGTCTAAAAACGATTTGTCCATTTCTCGGACAAAAAATAGAACAGCAACAACATCACTCCCCTCCTTCGTTTCATCACTTTTATCATATATTTTAATAGGCGTGGTGTCCCTTGTAGGATTTTATCTTCAATATATAAAACGCTATACTTACATTATAATTATAACATATAAGGGTATAAATGTTATTATTATAGTATGGTTATAATAACTTATCAGCACAGGGCGGTTGAAGTGTTCCAGATAATAATGCTGCTGTCCTAATGATTGTTCTATTCCATTTAGCAGTAGACCACTTTACTGAAAACAGTAGGCCACTTACTGAAAACAGTAGGCCACTTACTGAAAACAGTAGGCCACTTACTGAAAACAGTAGACCACTTTACTGAAAACAGTAAACCACTTTACTGAAAACAGTAGACCACTTTACTGAAAACAGTAGACCACTTTACTGAAAACAGTAGACCACTTTACTGAAAACAGTAGACCACTTTACTGAAAACAGTAGACCACTTTACTGAAATTAAAATCCTTAATCCGTCAGCCTCACCAAGATTTCACAAATTAATTCGCTAGGTATTTTATATAAATCTTCCTGTTTATGAAATACTGGATTGTCTCCCCATTCTGCTTTGGTTTTTGATGGTAGCCGTTGTGCAGTTTCAATATGTTTATTATTCCTGATGTTACCACAATCCTTTTTACATAAATCTCTAGGTTTCCAAGTTGTAATGTTATTCCAGAGCCTAGTGCGTTTTCTGTAAGGCATTCCATATTTACAGTAATCTACATCCTTAAATTCAAACTCATCCATGAACTCCTGATTTTTCAATAATCCAGTTTGTGGATTTTCGATTACAAAATATGTAGGCTTAAAATATTTGATAATCTCAATAGTTTTTAAGACAATACTATTTGCATATTCGATATTGTCTAATTCCCCTAGTTTTTGCTACACTATATTCAGTGCATGGGGGACTACTCCAAATAAAATCAAAATGGTTTCTGTCAAACTGTTTGTAATCCCACTCCAAAATATCAGTGTTGATATCAGCATTTTTCAAGTCTAATGATATTACATTAAATCCAAGCGACTTTGCTATGGTTCCGACGCTTTTTGTTCCGCTAAATAATTCTAATAAATTCATATTATTAGAATTACTTAGATATTAATTATTCAAATAATACATATACTCCATCATCATTGTTTGTAATTTTATAAAACTCTAATGTTTGTTGCTTTGGTTGTTTGATTTTTCCTGTATTCAACATATCACAGTATTTCTTTTGCTTTGTAGGGTAGTCGCCCGATGGTCTTCCTATAGATTTTGCTTGAAATATCTTTTCGATTTTCTCCTTCTCTTCGTTGCTTTGTTGTTCGCGTTCAACTGGTTTCATTTTGTCATCAATGGATTTAATCATATCATTTAAGTTTTGGATATTTTTACCAATTAATGTTATCTTCTTCATTAAATCATTAATAGTATAATTCTCATTTTCAGACATTACTATATATTTATTTAGATAATTATTTATTTAATTATATATTTATAAAGTGCAATTATGTTAAATCTACTCTTTAAATACTATTTTTTCAACATTTGTTTAACAGTTTCCTGCGTTTCATTTTCATTATTATCGGATGGTGTTGCTTGCCTACCCCATTTAAAAGTTATATTATGGACATCAGCTTCTAAGTTGATACTGTCTTTAGTTTTATCAATATTCATTTTCTTATCAGTTTTACTTATTTTGAAACTGGTTGGAATACATGAACATTTACCATTTCCTTTCTTTTGTATTTCTAATTCATTTTTAAGTTCTAACATCTTTTTGCACATAGGACACGCAACCTCAATTACTGCTGTTTCTTTAACAATTCTCCGCTATCTTCATCTGTTGAAGAAACACTTAAACCTGTCTTATGTTTGTTTTTTCTTTTTCTTTTTTACCGTTTATATTAATATTTACATTTTCATTTTTGATATATTGTATTCCTAGCTTAAGTATTTCCAATGAATAATAACAGCATTTTTTAGTTTTACTATCAGTTATTATTACTTGTTCTATATTTTCTACTTCATCTATTATATTAATATAATTTGAATAACTCCTATTCATATAAATAATAAGATAAAATAATTATTTAATCTTATTATTTTCATGCATGATAGAATATTCGGAGGGCACAGCACTTGGGGTTTTCTTTGCAATGCATCAAACTAATTAGCTTCAATGCTTATTGATTGAAGAAATGGACGCATCGGCGATGCCTCGCGAAGCTTCGCGACAGCCTGTTCCATTTTTATGATATTCGCCACCAGCATACCATAAAAGTGATGTTCCATTTAATATTAACTACAAGTTAATTTTTAAATATAATTTTCTATATATCTTTAATATCAACTATGACATATGGTCCAAGAATAAAACCAATAAACATAACTGAATATGAATTCAAGCAATCCAAATATGAGCACGTGCCAAAATTACCATTTAGAAGTATTATAGTTGCTTCTTCGACAGGCGGTAAGACTGTCCTTATTCAAAATTTAATATTGAATGTTTATAGAAATTCATTTGCAAGCATATTTATATTTTCACCCAGCGTCCATAACGACCCTACATTTACAGAAGTTAAAAAATACATCAGGGATGAATTGCACGTGGATGATGAAAAAGAACAAACTTATTTTGATAATTAAGATTTAGAAAATGTAATCGAAAGACAGAAGAAAATTATTAACTATATGAAGTCTAAAAAGATAAAGAAACTGCACTCAATATTAATCGTTATAGATGACCAGGCAGACGACCCTAAATTTGTTAGATATAGTAAATTATTACATGGGTTATTTACAAGAGGCAGGCACGATGCAGTAAGTGTGATTTGTTCAACACAAAAATACAATGTTTTGGCGCCTATCATTCGTTTAAATGCAAGTTCATTATATATTTTTAGGTTGGAAAATGCCAGTGAGCTAATGAGTTTTATTGAAGAAAATAGTGCCATTGTTGACAAACAGCAATTATTAGATATGTATCATCAAGCCGTTAATTTTGCTCCATATTCTTTTTTCTACGTGAATGTGAATTCAAAAGACATTAACAAAATGTTTCATATCAATTTTGAACAGGCATTTCAAATTACAAATGATGAATAAAGAAATTATAATTTAATATAATATAATAATACGCCAATGAAACTATGTAGATGTGGTGGATTTTATCGTAGAGGTAATTA